ACTTTGTTTCCATTGCTGGAAGATATTGATCATAATCACTTTGGTTGCGATGATCAGCGAAAAGCTGGGCGAGTAAACATGCATTTGAAAGAAAGTTTTGAGCACAAGAATTATAAACAGAAGAAACACAAAATGTCATGTTATATAATAATTGTAAAAATTGCATATATCTTTCACATTTATACCAATCATCCTCATATAAAGCATTGTTTGGAAATTTTCCGTTGTAAAAAATTGTTAAAGGATTCTTATATTCAATTGCCTTGGTTAACATGTCATAGGTGGAATTCCACCTAGTTGGACAATCGGTTTTGATTTTTATTGCTCTTATCTTTTGTTGTCTTAGAAAACTTTTCCATTCTTGGTATCTCATGTTTGAGCTATTAGTAGACATAATAGCTTGTCTAATTTTGTTATAGTAAGGACCAATTGCTCTAATTCCATCTTGTACACATAAGTTAAGAACATGGCAAACACATCTAGTATGAAGTGCGTCACCATCTAACATTACATTGGTTAAATTTTGTTTCACATAATTAGCAGTATATGTCATTGAGGTTGCATTGTCAAATATCATAGACATGATTTTTTCTCTAAGGTTGTATTCATTTATAGCTTCCATTAATGGTGAGCAATGTTAATACCGGTGTGGGGGTATTCTAGCATTTTGAAATGGATTATTCGTTTTTGTAACAACCATTGATCATCTACCCAATGGAAAGTCACACATAAATAGTGATATTTATAACCACTATCCCAAGAATCGGCAGTCAAAGACACTCTACAATTAAGTTTACTCAATTCGTCTTGTAACCGCATTTTGTACTCTAGGAAGTTTTTCATGGCGGCAGAACAACCGGTTTTCCTAGAGATTCTTTTATGTTGGGGTTGTAATGCCATATAACTGTTAAATGGGTCACTTTCATAGAAAAGAAAAGGTTGTTCGGCGTGTACTATCATTTTCCCTAGTTCATCCCTATCCCTCTCATAGTTGTAGGTAAAGTCGTATAGATGGAATTGGGAAATTTTTTGCTGGGTTGGATCACTAGATGGTTGTGCACATATTTTAAAGTGTCTACTTAAGTGTCCCGTCCCGGCCTTGGATGTGGCCGAGTATATTTTACCACATGTTTTACATTTTGCTCTTGTTTGGGCTTTATTTACAAAAAACCATACATCACTTTTGCGGCTTTTAATATTTATCATGTCACTTTCAATCAACCATTGCTCTTGTGTATTTGGGAATTGAGTGTTTGTAGATTCGGGGGCTTGTTGGTTAGTAGTAGAACCGGAGGCATTTGGGGTATCTTGTTCGCTACCTTGGCTAATATAAAAATTTTGTGGGTCAAAGAAATTAGGTGGGAATTGACCGAATTGTGGAAATTGGTTTTGTGGTGGAAATTGGTTTTGTGGAAATTGGGTTTGTGGAAATCTGGGCATATCTATGTTATAGGGTTGAAAATCGGAAGTACCACAATGCCTATATTCCTCAAAACCTAGGGGGGCGGTTCCGGGGTCATTGGTCTGACTCGAAATTGTGGGGGTCATTGGATTAGGTGATTCCCTAGAACTATTAGCACGGACAAATTGGGCTTTCCTAGAGGATGATGGGTTGTTCATGTTTGGTGATGCCATATTTAACAAATTAACAATTTTAATAATAACTAATTAACAATAATAATAATTAATAACAACAATTTTAACAGTTATTATAACAATAATAATAATTAATAACAACAATTATAACAATAATAATAACAATAATAATAATTAATAACAATAATTATAACAATAATAATAACAATAATAATAAATTAAAGATTAGTTTAGATCTTACAACCGTGCTTCAACGCTTTCCACTAATTACGATTACGAACTTTTAATTTTTTCGATATTAAGAGATAATAATTAGAGAATTTAAGAGAATTATTAGAGAATATAAGAGATTAAGAGAAGAGATTGTGAATTTGTGATTTGGAATGAAGAATATGGAGCTATTTATAGAAATTTAGGGGAGGTAGCAGTTGGAAACAATGGAGCAACGGTCTCCATTAGAGACGTTGAGGAAGAAGACGTTGGAGAAGAAGCCGTTGTAAAACGCTCATAAAGGCAGCCTGGCACGCGGCCAAAGGGCGGGCTCGTGCCGTGCCGTGCTGGAAAATTGCAACTGCTGTCCGTGGCACGGCCCATGGCACGCCAGGCGACCACCCTGCCAGGCCGGGCCAGTTGACGGACCGTGCCGTGTCTCGTCAAACTTCGTGCCGTGTCAGGCCGCCCGTAGGCCAACCCGGCCCGTGCCCACCTTTAGTGAGGACACAGTTAGATCACCCTATTCGTTTCATCCCATTTATCATTCATCATGATTGAGACTCATGAGCAAAATCCTACCATGGCCGAAATCCTCGAGTAGTTGCGGGAAACCCGAGAAGAGCTAAAAGCTACCCGAGAGAAGAACCAGAAGCTCCAGAGTGAATCTCAACCTCATCAAGTGACCTTGGAAAAGCTGAATAATTAAGGAGCTTGAATCTGTCAAGAGCAACGGGAAGAGAAGGGTCAGAATCGATGATATCCCTCAATTCTCCCTGATCTCATCCGACGAATATGATGGAGAGGATAATCGGATTAAGAAACCTGAGAAGGAGTCAGGTGAAGAGGCTGACCCTATGGCTGAGAGAGTAGCTGTTATCGAAGCCCAGAACCAAAAAATGATGAAGCTCTTGACTCGGCTACCAGGTGCGCCAAAACTTGTGGCCTATGAATCTCCTGATGGATTTAATGAGTCTCCCTTTGTGGAGAAGATTGCGCGAGTTCTGATTCCCAAAAAGCTGAACATTCCAGTATTCCCCAAGCTGTACGACGGGACTACCGATCCTCAGGACCATGTGGCCCAATACAAGCAGAGGATGTGGCAGTTATCAATTCCGTGGGAGCTTATTGAGCCCACCATGTGCAAGTCCTTTGGCGCTACTTTATCTGGCCCTTCACTCCAATGGCTAATTAACCTGAAGCCAGAATCTATCAACAGCTTCTGTAGCTTGGCGAATAAGTTCTATCAACAGTTTGCAACTAGCAGGGAACTGGAGAGGCAGAGTAGTGACCTGTACCGCGTCGTCCAGAAGCAAAATGAGACAACCAGAGAATATTGGGGTAGGTTCAACAGAGAGATGGTCAACATCAAAAACTGCGATCATTCAACCGCCATAGAAGCATTCCGCCAAGGTCTCAATTGTCAATCCAGATTGTATTATGAGTTGACCAGATATCCTTGAGCCTCTTTTGAAGAAGTCAGGACTAGAGCAATGGCTGAAGTTCGTGCTGAGGAAGCTGAATCCATTTAAGTGCTCATTTGGAGTATCTGCAGGTAAGCTGGGGGCAACTTGGGAAGGTCCATACCAGATTGACAAGGTAATTGGCAAAAGAGCCTACAGGTTAGTTACGCCAGAAGGTAAGCTAGTACCTAGAAGCTGGAATGCAACACATCTGAAAGCTTACCATTTCTAAGAACTTTCAAAGTTGTCTCCAAGTTTCTTCTAAGTTATTTCTAAGCTATTCCCAGGTTACCTATACTTTTTTCTAAGTTAGTTCCTAAAAAAAAAATTATATATTTAAGTTCATTGCTTTAATTTGGTTTTATCTCCATCAAATCAGTACTAACTTAGCGTCGGAGGGCCATTGGCGGCAACGCCAACGGTCAGCTCTAACCCACTGTTTCTCCAGACTCAAAGAGACAACCTGAATCCTAGATACAACCAAAAAGCATAGAAGGACAAAGATGAAGAATCAACCAAGTTCAAACTTTGTCAATTTGTTTTTAATCAATCTACCAGAACTTGTACCGACTTAGGCATCGAAGGGCCAATGCGCCAGATACCAAAGACATTCAAAGCTATGAACACACTAAGGGCCAATGCACTAGATACCGAAGAAATTCAAAGCAAAAGCACAAGCACATAACGAGAGTAAAATCAAAGTCTATTTTATTCCAAAGAACCTATTATCAAGTGTTCAAAGTCAAAAGAAAAACTAACGAATGAAATGCCCCCATGAGCAAAGTAAAGCACAAGTTCAAAAGCTAAGATCAACGTTTTAATACTAAGAAGTTGTAACTTTTCGAATCTAAAGAATTATCTTGGGAAAAATTTATCTTTCCGCTACTCACGTCAAAGTTTATCTTTTCAAAATGATTAAGCTTGCCTCATAGATGCAACAGGTACATCTAAGAGACAAGATGGGGGCACACTGTTATGCCTAAATTATCAGTACATGTTCAAATGTCTGCAGGTTGCTAGATTGCAGGTTACAGGTTGCTACAAAGTCAACGACCTGGTTATCAGAAGTCAAGGGAAATTAAATGAAGATCTTTCCAAGGAATATTCTAAGATAATCCAAGTTCGAATAAGTCAAGATACGTGCCATAAGAATAGTAACCATAAACTCCCACTAGCTGTTAGTTTGAACAAGTAAAAAAGACAATGGATAAGCACAAGGAGAGTATGGCATGAATCTCGGAGCAGAACCTGGCAACTAACCCCGATTTTCAAGGGATCAACAAAGGAGCTGTTGCAAAGCTTCAAAAGGCTCTTCTATTATAAATAGGATGAAAACCATTGTAAAAACACATGATACGAGCCCTAAGCATTACATTCCATAGCAATTAGCAATTAGCAACCAAATTACAGATTCATTCTTGATCAAATTACAACCTACACTGTACTTGTATTTCATTCTCAAATTAGTAGATTGGTGCGTGGACTCAACGCCACCCGCAATTTTTACCCTTATTCCTCGGGTTTTCTGCGTCATCATATCGTCTCCCTCTCCCTTTTCCCTTTGTTCTACTCCTTTTAATCATTTATCCTCGTCCCTTGAACCTGTATTAGCATTTGCATATTTATTAATCTAGTTGTTATCCTAGTGAACCTGATTTAATCTGGCGATCAAATTTTGACCTAAACAGCCTAACTTAATTATCTTGAAAAAAAAAAAAAAAATTGTCAATCAACCACCCAAAAAAATTTAATGTCCATTATTGATAGAACCGCTTCAGCAGCGTGGGTCGGGGGTGTGACTTTTGGGTTTTCGCTTTTCGCCATATAAATCTGCTCTCACTTCACTCATTAGTCATTACCTATGTTTCAACGTAATTAATTTGGGTAAGTACGTTACGTAACTTACGTTTCCAATTTTTATCATTCAATCACTTACTTGTATTATTTCTTAATTTATTCAATTTTCAATCAAATTATACAGATTTCTAAAATTCCCTTAGTTTCGAGATATCAATATAGTGTCATGATCAATCCTGAGCTCGTCCTTGCGCACAAATTTCCTGAGGTAATCTCATCCTTAATTCCACTCCTATGTTTATAATTTTGTTGCAATCAATTTTTGCTGTTTGTCAATGTGTTGAAATTTTGATTAATTTTATTGTTTCTACGATGAATTTTATTTTGATGATACAAGTAACGTAAGATTGCGTCGTTTGGGAATTTATTGGCATTCAATTGCGGAATTTTAATTGATAATTTCAAATCTAATTCCTGCGTTTGGCGAATTACGTTTCAAATTTAATTCCGGAATTGTTTAATTCAATAATATTGTTGGTAGAAGAAAAGTCAAAGAATTTTGGTATTATCTCCGAAGATTGATGGTGGATGCAGGAGATGGAGAATGAATTTTGGAGAGGAGAGAGGAGGGAGTTGTGACTTGTGAGGAATGGTGCAATAATAATATAACCCTAAACATATATCAATCAAGATATGTTATACTCCCCCTTGACCCTTCAATGTTTGATCCATTTGCTTTTTGAGAGTACTCTTAAATTACTTTGATGAAAATTGTTAGATTCAACATATCATGTACTTTCATAATATCTAAACCTTTTTTTAATTTTACTAAGAATCTAACATGTACATAATGCTTTTTGTATTTTTTTTTTTTTCAAATTTGAAATTGGTAACTAAATCTTGATGAGTGGAAAATTGGGATTCTAATTTTTACTACCTTCGTTTTAATGTATTTGCAACGATGTGACATTCACCATCATCTAGGTAAAATTTGTTTGAGTGGTAAATAAAGAGTGAAAAATACATTTGCATGTGATGAGGAGAGAAATAGAAAGAGTGACCGGTAAAAAAGGAAAGGAAACATTTATTGTAAATATTTGTAGTATCCATTTGTGGAAAATGTTGCAAATAAAAGGTAGGATATAAAATAGTCGGACTGAAAAAAAAAAATTGAAAAAAGAAAAGGGACAATGTAACCAATGTGGTGTTTGTGAAGAGAGTATGTTGATTAAAAATTAGAATCATGCATGGGGAAATTCAATCAGTAAATAATTATAAAAAAAAACTTTATGAAAAGGGAAAAAAGTAATAAATTCGGCACATCTACTAAAGGAAAAATGAAAAGTAATTTTTTCTACCATATTTGGAAAAATTCTACTCCTTCTATCCTTGTTCTTTTAAGAAAATTTAAGAAACTTCTTTCTTTTTGAAATCTTTCCAGATATGGTAAAAAAAACTCCCTAGAAATTTTCTTTTTATCTATTTGGTGAATGTGCCAAACTTTGTTACTTGTTTTCTTTTTCGTAAAATTTTTATACAATTATACATTAGTTGAATTTCCCCATGCATGATTTTAATTTTTAATCATCATTCACTATTTCCAAACACCACATAAACTACCTTGTCCTCTTTTTTTTTTTTTTTTTTTTTTTTTTTTTTTTTTTTTTCTCTTTTGTTTTGAATAGTGGGACTATTAAATGTAAAGTAAGGATCTCCATTACTTTAATTGTTTCTCACTCATAGGATTCACTTTTCTTAATTTACTCCTTGATTCCAAATGAGAAGAACAAAAAGATTGAAGAGAGTACAGTGAAAGAACTTTTTGGAATTTTCCAATTGGGAAAGGGAAGAACAAAAAGGATAGGAGGGAGTAGTTTAAGATATTAACGGTCAAATGGGTTTCTTGGAGACCGTGAAAAAGTAATTGGGGCTAACATTGTAGAACCAACATAAAATACACCTACCTCATAGTACTTGTGTTCAAAATATCTAAGTGAAGAAAAATAAGGAAACGATAGGCTATTTTCTTCTCATGTTGTTGGTAAGTAGAGCATTGTCGGATTACATTCACTTTATCCACAATGTCTATTTTCCCAAATCACCACTATCGGGTATCATCTTGTTTGATAGGTTTTTGCCAAAAAGTTTTTTTACAAAAATGAATGAAGATATAAGGAAGACTTGAGTAGTCCAAACCACCTATAAACCTAGAGAAGATCCCATCCTAAAACCAATTAAGAATGGGAGTAGTAGTTCCTCATGCTTATATAATCTTTTCGTCTTTGATGTTGGACAACTAGCATGTGCACACTGCACAACATGGAATTTTAAATACTTTTCCTCACACGTGAAGGCACTTAGTAATTGGAGCACACTATAAAGATAATCAAGTAATCAACTATAATCTTCTTTGTTGGACAAAGTCTAATCCTTATCCTTGATTTAGATCTAGAAGCCCACATGAGCTATGATACTATTTTAAATTTAAGAAAGTATTGAAATTAAGTTTGGACTGCTTAAGGATAAAAGGAGTTTAGACCACCTACAAGCCCAAAAGAGGTTTTATTCCAAAACCAATTGGAAATGGAAAGAGTAGCTCGTTAAGCTTGTGAAGCGGTTATAATTTCTCATCATCTTCAATGGTTCAATGTGAGATGACTTATATGTGCTCAACATGGTGTATCAACATATTTTTTATTTTTTATAATCTACAACATGTTTTTAACATGACTTTTGACTTCCATGGATTAAGTAGTTGATGTCTATCTTATGTGACTTATACTAAAAACAAGTTGTTACTCATATAAATCATCCATTTGTAAGGTGAATGTAACAACTCAATCATCTAGTATTTAGTTATCTTATGTTGTCTGACTTGTCACTTTGTCTGAATTGATGATACATGTAATAACTAATGATGCTGCTGCTTGCAGACGAAATATCGGTATTCCGAGAGGTACTTTTAACTTTTATGCCCCTATTTTCTCTTTGTTCCTCAATTCTGTCAAATTTCTTTCATATGTTGAGAATTTTTCCTTTTACAGAATTGTAGATCCAAAACTAATTATTTTTATGATAAAAAATTACATATTATCAACAGAGTTAACACACTTCCTTCCCAAGTTCATTCTTTCTAGTGTGAAGTGAATTAGCTGTGGAAGGGAGTAAGCTTTGCTACGACTGTTGAAAGTTCTTACCTTCTATGATAGTCTCCTACTATCCAAAATCAAACTTTTAACACACTGGTTTGGTTATAAGAAATGATAGTATTGGTATTAGGTAATAAACTAATAAATATGTGTGGAAGGAAAGTCACATTTCATAATTTTTAATTATACCCAACTTAAGATATGCATTGAATTTTGTGAAGAAGTCAAATGCGACAAACATTAATGAGTGGACGGTGTACAAAACAAGGAGATATTTTTGGTTTGATGGATTTCCTCTTTTCAGATGTAAAACACGACATGAACCAAACACGAAAAAATTAGGAAAGTGTCAAGGTTTTATGACACGTTTAGTTATATGGATCAACATGAAACGCAGAAACGACACATTTTATTAAACAGGCCAGCTTAGTGTTGAGAATTCCATCATGAAACTAACACGAATCAACCTGCTTAAGAAAATTAATCAATAATTTATGGATTGTATGATGAATATTTACAATGGGGCTAACATTTTTACTTATAACACGACAACACGACACGAATCAGGCCTGAAATAAGCGGGTTAATGTCAAGGGTTTTGACACGATTAGTTAAACGGGTCAATAAGACACGACACATTTATTAAACAGATCGGGTTAGTGTTGAGGTCCTCCAACCCATTTAACTTCGAACACGAACACGAGAATGATACGACACGACACGTTTACTAGCTCTAATTGTGATAGTTTGATGTTTGCACCTGAATTTATGTCCTAGTTTGATGTTTGCACCTGAATTCATGTCCTAAACTAGTAGTGTCCAAGAATTAGTAACATAATTTATGAGAGATCTTTTTGGGTATGGGTGGTGGACCTGAGAGTTAGGACTGTAGGAGAACCATCTTGCTTATCAGACTTAGGGGGAAGGGTGGCTTATGTCTCAAGAATCTGTATGACTGTATCTAAGACATTTTCTTGGTAGGAAAAAGGTTTTGGCTGTTTCCTCTTGATCCTGCATCCTTTTGGCACCATGTAACTGGAAGCAGGTATACATTTGATAAGGTTGATGAATGCACTTGCAGCTACAAGTGCCTCTTTCTCTAATCTTGGAGACCTATAAAGTTGGAGGGTTTGGGGCTGGGGTAAGATCAAATTTGAATTATGGGCAGGGGATTAAGGGATAATAAAGACAACTAGACAAGGAATGAGATGAAAAAGGACTGAAGCAGCCATTTTCCACTTCTTTACTTAATTATTTACCTCTTTACTTTGCATTGTTACCCAGCTCACTTGTCTTTAGCTACACCTTTTCTTTTGTCTAGTCATATCGGGAAGGCAATGTTCCCTGGATTCTAAGTTTCTAACTTCTAAGGCAGTGTTTTGGGTGGTAATACTATACCATGTTTTCATCGACTCTGTCTTTGACTCCCCCTATCAACCTGATATGATTGATCACCTAGCTCACAGAGGAAAGGTTATTGCAACTCATATCCTCACTCCATCTATAACTTATCTTATAGTAGATTTTAATGTATAAGATCTTTGGACTGAGGTTTCGTTAAACATATGATTCTTTGATTCAGATGTTTACTAGGTATTTATCCAGGCTGCGTGTTTGGATAAAATCAACAGTAAACACTGCTGATAGAAGCCCAATAAGTGTCTTTCTCCTAATGTGTACTCTTTGTTTTGGTGGTGAGGAGTTCGGAAGCTTTATTGCTTTGATATTGTACATTGGTGTCGTTTTCTTAGAATACGAGGTTTTCTATCATGGTGGTCAATTGGGTTTGTTCATGGTATCATATGGAGCATTTGCAGGTGCATTAGGTAATTTTTACTCTGTAAGATACAAAGGTGGATGACATTCTTTCTGGAGGTGGGGGAACTCATACAGCCAGGGACGAAGCTAGAACTTTATTCTACTGTGGGCTAAATCAAATCCTTCTAATCACTTAAAGTTAAATTTATAATATTATTAATTTCCTTTGTTTATAAAGTATTGAAACTGCACAAGTAATATTAAAGTTAAGTCTCTGAGTTTATAGTATAAAGTTAAGACCCAATATTAAAATTGTAAACTCTAAAATCAATTGCTTGAGGTCTGTAGGCAAGAAAGAAAAGCAAAATAACTAAAACTTACTCAAAAAAAAAAAAGGTGTTCTAATATCTTTAGGTTTGTTTTTTTTTTTTTTTTTTTTTTTTCCCCTAATTTTCTTATGCGATAATTTAGGATTGGATTCTTGGGAATTGGTTTGTGAAAATTTGTTTTTAAATTTATTTAATTCCCAAAATCCCAAGAAGTCAATTTTGGGCCAAGTACTAATCATCGGTCCTTTCGGTGAGACTACACACATGACACAGCGCAGCCCCTGTATAGTCTTTTCTTTTTCTTTTTAGGTTGGGTTGAGCTTGTTTAGTGGATTGAATGCTTCTTAAAGGCTGATCCTGGTTCCTGAAGGTCCCTTTATAGCTCTGCTCTTTCCTTCGGCAAACCATTGGTTGTTGTGAATGGATGACTGGAATTTTCAAGACAGACATTTTATATGGTGGTCTTTGTGGGAATGAGCGGTGTTTCTTTGTAGTGTTATTTCTGTAGTGTTGGAAAGGGAACGGACAGGGAACCGCTCAACTAGGTAGTTTTCTAAGGAGCTGGGCGGTAAAGATTCAACCATCGCGTCACAATATATTTTATGGCTTAGTTTAAAGCTGTATTTGGCATGATTGCACTTGAGATGCTTTGTTATAGACTGATTTTCTAACTTAGTATTTCTGATTTAACAAGACAAATGAATAAAGATTAAAGCTTGATGTTTGATTGATAATGGCAAAAGAAGTTGCAAAATGATTAAGTTAATAGCTGTAGACTATCACTCTCAAATAATGGCTTGAGGCCATAACCCTCTAGGTATCCCAATACCAATTTCTGCCTATTTTTTCTTTCTCCTCTCCTTCTATTTATACTAAGGCTAAAGACTATTAACCTATTAATACTAGATTTCCCAAAGTGCCCCTCCTAAAGTTAGTCTATTACATGTTTGCATTAGCCTTTCTTTCAGCTGAGCAGGTCTTATTAAAATTGGTTTATTTTCCCTTGTTACTATTTAGAAGTACTTATTTTCTATCCAGATAAAAAAGATTATTATTCTCCATCTTAGTATAAGAGTGGCATTCTGGTTTCCATTTCACAGTAGTTGGAATGTTTCGTTGAATACAGAGATGCAGCGTTATATGCACTTGGTGTTGGAGCATGTGGGACTAACGCAGTTGATGCCAATGAACTGAAGTATGTTTACCATGATGATGGTCAACAATTCATCAAGGTACTGATAATTCCTTTTTCCTGCATGACTTCAATTTGTTTCATTTGCTTCTACCTTTTTCAATGTTTATTATCATGCATTTCATTTTCAGTCAATGATATAAGATTATAGTTGAACCTCCTAGAATATTTTCCCAATAATATGCTTGCTGAGGCAGTGGCTTATACAGCCTAGCCTATATGGCTATAAATCAGTATTATATGCTATATACTGTCAAGGCATTTCTGATTAATTTGGAGTGTTCTTTCACAAGGCAGGATTTTGCCTAAAGAGTATCATTTTCTCTCTGTAGAGGGAAGATACAGACTCAACAACCTAATGCTCAAGGCTCTCGCCTTTTTGAAGATGTGATTACAAATTTCATTGATACCTTGTGGTTGCAAAGATTTCTCTGTCCTTCCAAATTTAAATCATTTAATGCTAGGACGTGAGAAGAAAGTAAATTGAAATTTGTTGGCTTTGGCTATTCTAAAAAACAAGTGTTCCACTTTCTGTGTTTCTCTATCTTAAATTAATATACAACCTTCTTTATGTATTAGTATCTTAATACATCAAGCTCTTTCCTTCTTCTCTTGATCCCAAATTAATATGCACATTTCAAAAAATTTGGAACGTTTAATCTGGGACAGAACAGGTATTTGTATTTTGTTAGGGAAGGTGATTAATAGTTTTGGGACAAACTAAAGTAGGATTGAAGGAGTACTATGATGTGAAAATTTTGATCCTTCAAGTAAAATGAGCTCCTACAAGAAGCTTGTTACTTGTGTTAGTGATTGTTCCAATTCAGTAATAGTGTTCTGTTGGCTTCCAATGTGTAACTTTTTCCTCATTTTTTTGGTTTTAAATGTTGCGGATTTTTATTTTATTTTTGGGAGTGGTGTAGTGAAAGAGGATAGAAATCTTATCATCATTGATTTGACTTGTTTCTTTGGATAATCTACATCATCTTTTCTGTAATTATTAAATTGCAGCAGATAAATAGAAGCACATGCAGTAACATCGTATTTCTTTATTGACAATTTTGCAGGTCTTGCCTACTTTTGCAGCTATAATATCTTTAAATTCTGATCCTAATCTTTTCAATATTCCAGGAATGGAGTGAGTGTTTGTTCTTCTTTATTTACCTCATATGTCCTTTAATTATACCTTGTAACCACTGAGACTACTTCCTCCGTTTCATATAAATTGACGCACTTCATTTAGGCACACCAATTAAGGAGGGTGAGGGTGTAAAGTACAAAATACCCTTACATTATTACGCGACTCTGACTCTTACCCACCCTCCCTTCTCCTTCTTTAACAGATGACCTTTCAGGCAGTCATCACCATTGCACAACCCTATCTCCTTCCCGTCCTTATTGTCTCCATCACTATTACCTGCCCTCACCTGTCAACTGCCTTCAACCATGTGGGCCATCTGGCCCACACTACTGTCACACATCGACTCTTGCTGGAACATCGACCATCATCCTCTATTCAATTTAGTTGCATTATCACAGCCCTTGTCCTCTATTCCAAAACACTACACTCATTGCAACTCACCATTATTGCTTCTCCACCATTGGAATTCACGTCAACAAGAAAGAATTTTAAGGAAGAGCTCCATAAAATTGAAGAGGATAGGAAATTGAAGAGGATAGAGAAAGAGAGGCGGCAAGGGAGGAAAGACTAGGAGGATGCGACGGTGAAGGAGTAAAGAATTTGGCAATGAACGTGGAGATAAAAGTTGTTGACGAGAACAACAGAGAGAGCTAACACTGGTTGTCGGAGGGAGGAGAGAGAACTCCGACAATAGTGGTGGTTGGATGGAGAGAGAAATTTGGATGTTGGTAGCTATAGGGAGAAAAATCCCATGGTGGTGGCTTGTATGAAGGAGAAGAGGAGAGAGACTAGATCAGTGAGTAGGATAGAGAAGAGTAGTAAGGGTAAATTGACATTTAACCTTACAAAAATACCAAAATAGAAACGTGTCAATTAAAAAAACTTGCCATTAGGGATCACGTGTCAACTAATTTGGAACAGAGGAAGTATGTGTTTGTTGTTGGAGTGTTGCTGGTCAATTTTTTATCCATTGGCGGGTTATACTCCTTCCGTTTCTATTGCATGCATGAAAAGGGCCTTTAACATTTGTGGTGTTATGTAATTGGTAATCTTTTAAATTCTTATATTAGGATGAGTTTGTGTTATTGATTTCATATCTCTGACTTTTTGCAAGGGGTAAATTGACACTTTTTAAAGGGAAATTGGTATTCGTAAGATGGAAATATTTTGTGAAATAATGAGAGAGGCAAAATTGACCTTTCATGTGGACACCATTAGTTCAGCTTTTGGCTTACATAATAGAGATAATATTTTGAAATACACGTCCCTTTCTATGTTTAATTGATTGTGTGCCAACTATTGTAGTACTTTTTTCTTATTATGTCATAAAAACTTTAAATTATAATGAGATTAATGACCATGCATGTGAAGTTGAATACAATACATTTACAGTATACATTTATGTTGGAATTCAAAAGGACTACAAATCAGTGTCATGTCAAGCTTTATAGTTTTAAGCTTTTACAACTTTTTTAATTGGCAAAAAAAAAAAAAAAAGACACGTCAAGTCCTTTATTAACAATGTATATCTAATCTCATAAAAATAATTAAATTTTCTTTAATCTCTCATTTACGGAATATATACTAGTATATTGGGTATGTGCATGATACAACAGGATAATTAATTTGTTGATGATAAGTCAGGGCAAACATTCATTATATAGGTGTGTTGACTGTTTTTTAAGCATAATAAGAATCCGTGGCAATCATTCAATAATTCTATTTTTTACATTGGTATAATAAAATGGAGCTAAATGTATAGTGGCATTGTAGAATGACTTCTATATCTTTCTTTTTTTTTTTTTTTTTTTTTTTTTTTGGGGGAGGGAGAGGGGGGGGGGGTGGGGGTTAAATGCCTTATACAAAGAAACGGAAGGACTATATATTTCACCTATTCAAAATTTAGTTATGACAATAGCCTAATTGAGTTTTCTTATCTTTTGATCCATTTCAGGTATGATCCACGACTTCTCCTGCATGGACAACAATACATAGAAATTTACAGGCCACTTCCATCGAACAGTTGTGTAAGGGTTTTTTTTTTTTTGTAGGTCAAATATGCTTTAATACTGACCAATGAGAGGTAGTACTAACACCAAAACACTACAATTTGACGTAGTTTCCAAATTTTTTGTCAGTATCACTGTCACCAACTCCCATCTTCTCGGAATGGTTGGAGGACAGACCCTTCATGTGCAGGAGCCAAAGCTCACAACAGAAGCAATTGCATCTTTCAGCTGAACCTCTACAAGAAACCTTGAACATTTCATTTCTAAACAAAATGACACTGTCAACTAGAGCTCCAGTAAATAACTTCTGATCTGCAAAGCTAACTGATCCCACAAAGAACATTCCTTTTGGCTTCTGATTTAGATGCTTCCGTCTACAAGCATTTGCAGCTCATTGCAAGATTTGCAACTCTCTTTGAAACCTCAGACAGCTTCAAACAATGTTCACCCTAGCAAAGTAGGATATGCAAATATAGATGTATAGTAGACTCTGCAGCCCCATTACATAATACACACTGCCCATTAGTCGAGATATTTCACTGAATTATTGTGTAACCTGTTCAGAATAACATGCCAAATATAAAAATGCTCTTTGGGCTAGCCATTTTATGTTGTATAAGGTTTCTTTAGCTCTATTATATACTGATACTGTTTACACTTAATGTCCTATATACTTATTTTTGGACAATGTAGTCAAATCATCTTTAATTTTCTCTCTCTCGCGCATTGAAAGGCTAGAGCCTACTAATAATTACTACTCTATGCCACCTGATCCCTGAAGCTTGTTGAGGATGCCCATCAGAAGTGCCATCCAAAACTAGTCTGTATAACTCTCAGAGATATCATCTTGTCGATCACATATTTGTTGAATTCCTGTTTCTTGACTGAAGCTGAGGAAGCTTATTGATCCTTGTATTGCATTTGTATCATTTTCTAAAATAAAAGTAAATATAGTCCTTGGAACTCAGGAGTCACTTCTTTCTGTAGCTCTCAGAATTTTTAGTTGCTGCAGCTGCTAATTTCACTTTTATAATGTTATTATGCAGATAAGAAACACGACAAGAGTTGCTGGGTTGCATGATAAAGGTTTGAAATCTTTTCTGAAAATTCTCTCTAGAAATCCATAGTTAGACTTGTGGGGGTGTTACAAAGTGGCATCTAAAGATTTAGGTTTTAAAACAGAATGATTTTGATTTGATTTATCAAGTGAAAAAATAAAAGTTAAGTGTTGGTAGGCAAAATCTTGGGATTAAAGTTGTATATTTATCTTTGGAAATTCGAGTTGTATTTTTGAAATTATTTCAAAATAATAGGAATAACATTATATGGTGCCCAAGCATTTGGATATCCTATCTGATTACACTGATCACAGAATTGAACTTAATTTCTTTATATGGTAAAATGAGCATTCAGGGTTTCCTCTGTAAGTTTACTCATATCAAAATGTGTTGGATCCCAACAAATAAATATAATACACATGTATATGATTGTCACTAAAAGATTATTGCACATAAAGCATACAATTACACGTTATGATCATATATGATATTGCTTGCTTGCTTGAATGCCTTTGTCTTATAAGTGGGGTCGGCTACATGAATGAACACGAGGACTTCCCAGGAGCTCACCCATCCTAGTACTACTCTCAATCATTGTGGCTCATGTCAAGTGATGTGACAAAGTTTTACACTGGCTGTCACTAGCCATCATATAACTTTACTAATTCACATGTTTGATTTCACATAATTCATGCTTCACATTCAACAAAAAACTTTGAATAATATAATTAATTTCACTTTAATTTCTATTACAAGCTTCCATCATAGGAAATACATGACTACATGATAATGATATACTTGACTTGCACATTGTCACATAATTACTGCAAAATTTTATTGAATTTAATCAATAAACAATCACATTCCCTTTCTATTTTACCAATCTCATTTAAATTAATTGATTTAAAACAAAAAGGGTAGAAATTATTAAATATATATAAATATTTTGGACTTCACTCTTTTTTTTTTCTTCTGTAAATCAGGTTTGTTTTTAAAAAAAGTTCCAATTTTAATCCGGAACTCTCTCTTTCTCTCTCTCTGTCTCTCCTTTTTTTTTATTTGAAAATTCAAAAAAAAAAAAAAAAAAAAATCGAAATTACACCTCAAATTTCCAAAGATAAATATACAAAATTAAATCCCAAGATTCTGACTAAAATTACTGAACTTAAAACACTTTATCACTTGATTTGCAAATCAAAATCATTTTGTTTAAACACCTAAGGCTCTAGATGTCACATTGTAATGCGAAACTAACACCCCCACTATTCTCACTTTCTAAAGCAATGCCACTTTTCTAAAAATTCTCACTTTGTAACACCCCCACTATATTCTTTAGATATCAAATCAATCAGATATATGAGCTTATTTAACAACCCAAGACTCTGCACATGCCTTAAAAGCAATCAAGCAATGACTAGCCACAATTAGAAAGAAGTTTGTCTGATTGAAGAATTCGAGTTAGTAAATTTAGGACACCTGTTAATCTATGAATGTAAATCCTGTTTTGGTGGTTTTGATTCAAATAGGAATAATTTCAGATCAGTGTTAATTCTACAAAAGAATAGTATGATGCAATTGATGTTATTTTAAATAGCAAGCAACCAATTTTGGGTGATGAAATAAATAAAAGGGCAGCTTGCAGAAGATGATTTATGCAAAACTTACTGCTAAAATGAATTTCACTTAGATAAGCTGATTTACTGAGCAGCTCTATTTTTACAGGTAAAGCAGCTATCCTGGAAATAGAAATGACAAGTTTTGATGAGGATTCTAGGGAACCACTTTGCATGAACAGGTTAGTGATTTACCAAATGGTACATGTCACTCTTCTTCTACATAATTACATGATTGACTAGGTTTAAAATTTGTACTGTGCAGGAGCACAATCTATTTTAGGGGTGCTGGTGGTTTTTCAAAGTCTTCGCCACCCTATACTTTCACAAATTATTCAGGGACCCAGCTTCCAGCCATTAAGATTCCCAAAAGTCAACCTTTTGCATCATTTGAGGATATTACTCGACCATCTCAGGTCTGTTCTTCTAGTTGATTCTTCCTAAGACACATGATTTAGTAATCATGTCCTGTTTCACTTATATATTCTGCTGCCATCACATAATATATTAATACACTTGAGACTTATCTTTGCCTCACATGTACATGTTAATCATATGGTATTTATCTTACTTAAGATGCTGAAATTTCTGTAGAATTTGAATAAGTTAACAACATTTGCTATTATTCCTCAATGCTGGTATACAGGCATTGCTATACAGACTCTCTGGAGATTATAATCCATTGCATTCTGATCCTATGCTTGCAGAGACGGCGGGGTATGGTTTTCTTGATGATAATTTCATTTGCATACGTGACTGTCATTCTTGTCTACCCGTAGGTTGTTTAAGGGAGGAAGGGGGAAGATGGATGTCTGTTTTGTATGTTGTACTGGCCATTTGTGAATGTTATGTCCACATATTCAGTCAGTGAAAGTTACTTTTACAGCTTTTTAAATCATCTTCAGATGGTGGATATTATTGTAAAAAAGGAAATTATACTGAGTGATATCTATTTTATAGTGATTGCTTGCACACACTATACATTTTCGGAATGTGCTTCAGATCTGTTTTTGGAGCTCATACACCATTATATTCCTGGTCTTCTAGATAAACCTATTATCTCATGTCATGAAAGTGAAATAGTGAATACTAATTCAATTTGAATGTTTATACTCCAGTATTTTGTTAAACAATTTCTAAAGATCCGTCTGTAATATTCTGATCACACTAATTACATTGGTCTGCTGGTCTCCACTCATCTGATCTTTAAATCTCAAGAATTCCAATTGTTTCTACACCTTAAAATCTACTTCCTCCGTTTCGTTTTAGTTGACATGTTTTGACTTTTGGGCACTATTTACATAAGTTACTTTGATTTCTTTTTGCGATTTATTTTATAGAAAACAAAAACATAGTCATATTGGTCTAGTTAGATTCATCTCAAAATCTATTTTCCAAATATCTAATTTTGATTTTTTTTTTCTTATTGATGTACCCTAGATATGCCTTTTTCTTCCCTTTTCCTTCTCATATATCCCCCTTCTGATCAGAAAAGTGCTGTGTGAGCGAGCGAGCGTGCGTGCGTGTGTTTGGGGAGGGGTGTTCAGCTTGCTGCTGTCGCTTTTTTTTTTTTTTTTTTTTTTTTTTTTTCTGTTATGTATTCTGTGGCTGATATGTACTCTGTGTCTGATATGTACATTGCCTATATTGCACAGTTTTCCTCGTCCCATATTGCATGGACTCTGCAGTCTTGGTTTTGCAGTCAGAGCTGTTATTAAATGCATTTGCAAAGGGAACTCAGACATGGTCAAGAGTTTATCTGGTCGATTTCTTTTGCATGTCTTCCCTGGTGAAACTTTGATCACAGAAATGTGGGTCGAGGGTTTGAGGTATGATAGCTACTTAACTTGAAGTGATATACAACTGGTATCACTGGGTTAAGTTTTCTGATTGTTTACTTGAATGAGCAGGGTTATTTATCAGGTAAAGGTGAAGGAGAGAAACAAAGTGGTGCTTTCTGGTCACGTTGATCTTAATCGTTTATCTTCACAGCTATGAATCATCAACTGAATAGCAAACAGTATCATTATGCCCTGTAACTATTCCTTGTCGCCTTTACTGGTTACTGTACAGAGGTTGTGCTACTTTCAAGTAATAAGGTTAGTTCGAACTTGATCATGAAGCCTTTGTTCACAATAAAGGGTGTTCTTTCTGTTGTATTTCGTCATCAAAATCTGTAATTCAATGATGTTGTGCTTAACCTATTATGTATTAGTATATTATGAATGTAATTTTTTAATTTTTTTTTTTTTGATTGTTGATCGAGGATTTTATTTGCTTAATTGTTGATCAAGTAGAATCTTCTGATTTATTTTATGTATATTTTTAATTTTTTTTTTAATATCTAGTTGTAAAGGAATCTTCTAGAAGAAGCTGCATGTGGGAATGGCATAACTGGGAAAATTTCTCGAATTGTGCTGAAGATTATATTCTTTGCTTCAGTGCTCCATCTTTTCCGAGTTGACGAATTCCTGTTCTTTCAACTATCTCTTGTTTAACCCATTTGATGTTCTCTATTCCCTTGTAGCTTTCAACTTTTTAAGGAATATATAAAAGCATGGAATAGCATCTTATATTCTTCCTAAATATACTACTTTAGGTGCATGAATGCGTATATATTAATCTTGTCTACAGAATTTAGCATCAGAATATTTTCAACCCGCCATACCTCTTCTTGAAAATTTGTGTTATAAAAGGACATTGTTAGTCTGATTCTATCTTCCATCCTTCCTAGTCGAAAATCATGTCTACCGTGAAGTTTCTCGATTTTCAGTATGGTAGAAGCAAGTTCTCAAAGAACTCAAAGCGTTTATTTTCCTTCAGCAACAAGCAGTACTCTAACATCTTACCGGTCTTCCTGCCAAGCACGGATGAAATGCGTCAGGTGTTTGATAGATTTGACAAAAACAAAGATGGGAAGATATCGCAAGAAGAGTACAAGGCAATACTCCGAGCCATGGGGAAGGATGAAAGTGCGGTGAGTGAAGTCAGTAAGATATTTCAAGTAGCTGACTCCAACAAAGATGGGTACATTGACTTCAAAGAGTTTATGGCGTTGCACAAAGATGGAGGCGGTGTAAGGACTATGGACATAAGGAATGCGTTTCGTGTGTTTGATTTGGATGAAGATGGGAAGATAAGTGCGGAGGAGGTGCATGAAATGTTCAAGAGACTCGGAGAGAGATGTACGCTCGCAGATTGCAAAAATATGGTAAGAGCTGCAGACACAGATGGGGATGGTTTTATAAATATGAATGAGTTTATAGTTATGATGACTCGTAATATGACTCGTTATTAGACAAATTCCATGATGACATTGAAGAATGTTTTCAAGTATGTCCTCTTAAGCCTTCTATAATGTGATGTCATATTGTGGATGTAAATCTACTTGGTTAATGTTTTAGAAGATCTATTACTTTTACATTTGTATTTGAATTCAAAATGAAGATGCTTTCAATATTCAAAATGCAGATATTATACTCTTCTTATGATATAATCTCCAATATCAATTAGAAGAGAAACATGAGAAAGAAAAGGGTGTAAGCCAATCAATTAAATAACACGAGAGCATCTTTAAAAAAAAAGTACTTCTTTTATTTTTATTTTTAAATTTTTTATAAGTTCAACAAACAAGATACGGAGTAAACGATAAACCCTCCTTACACGTGGTAGCTAGTAGATGTACTCTGTGAATACAACTCCTATCAACCTTGTGAATGTTGTATCAATCAAAATTCTTATTAGCTTGCCGAATATTCTTTATTGTCCCAATGGTGAAGAAATTCTTCTCGTGAGTTTTTTTTTTTTTATTCTTAAATGCATCCCACTAGTAAAACTTCACCAAAATGCTCACAAACTTCTAATAATATTCTCAATACAAACCTATTTACACAAATTGTCACGTGGGCCCCTCATAAAAAAAGTGACATTTTGTCCATTTTTTACCTTGTTTTTTTAAATGTATTATAGCCACTCAAATAACGACATGTAGCAAATAATTCAAAACTACATTTTTAGGTTGAAATTATCACCGTTATTTATTTGTAACGACTATTTTAAAATTTTAGGTTAAAAAAAAATAAAAATAATTACACCAACGGTCACAAAATTTTATGCTCTATAAAAGGAGATCCATTTTGATGTATTTTAACACACCATAAAAAAAAAATCATATTTCTCTCTCTAAATCCATCCAAAATTAGAAACAATTGTTTAGTTATTTTCTTTGTTCAAATGGATCCTAATAATCCCAACTTTTCACAACATTTAAAATGATTTGATCCTTCTCTTGTCAACCATCCACAAATTTCCCAATTTCTTGAAAAAAAAGGAAATTTACCGATTTTTCCTTCACAACAACCACCTCCTTCCTCCCAAAATTATGAGAACTCTCCACAAGTTTATCAAGGAAGCAACAGTCAAGTGGTTAAAGATGAAATAGAAATTGTTCCGAATACACCTCAATACCCTCCAAAAACCTTACTGTCACATCAAATCCATGTGAGGACAAAGAATCCTCTCCCAACTGCTACAAACAATCGTGATTGGTCTATAAGAGAGAATAGGATGAAGCTTTCATTGCGGCCTACTTTCAGCATTGCACGGACTTAGTTATAGGAAAAAATATAAAATTTACTGATTTTTAGAGAACTACTATTCACGAGTCGTATGTTGCGGCTCAAAGGCTCGGACATTTGAGTTATATTGGAGAGTCATTGGAAACATATTACTAGAGACCTACTCACTTGGGCTAATGCATTAATAAGAAGTTGATGGATTATCAAGGAGTAGGTATAACAAAAAAAGTGTTATAAAAAAATGCTCATGAATTTTTTCAAAAGTCATACAAAAAAGGGCGTAGGAAATTCAAATTTTAGAATATAATGCTTGGGGAATTGTGAGCAAATATCCAAAGTGGAGAAAATACATGAGGTGGGCTATGGATAAGGAGTAAGTTGTTGTTAAATACAAGGCGGAAAATGAGCTTTAAAATAGCAGTGATAGTGGTAAGAGAAGTACAAACGATGATAACTAGTGATAGCTACAAATTTGCAGCTATAACTTGCCTAGATGGTGTGAAGAAAGACAAGGTAAAAAGAAAGGTTGAAAGGGCAAAGGGGTCGCAACAGAAGATATTGTATTTAGTATGGGTGAACAGATTAAGGCTCACACCCATCAACGAGGTTCAGAGTTAACTCTTAAACAAGGGAAATTTAAGTTTAAAAAGTAAAAGGAAAGGAGGAGCAAAGACAATTGGAACTAGAGGAGAAAAACATTCTTCTACAAGAAGAGAAAATGCGGTCTATTAAACTGAAGTTGAAATTCGACATGTTACAAATTCTCTTATCTAAGACATCACTAACCCCAAACAAAGATTAAGGAAAAATTACTTGATGAACTTTATGAAGAGTAATTATGTAAATACTCTACAGTTAATCTTCGTGATTTTATTATTTGTTGTTATTTTCATATTAAGTAGTCTTTTATTTAAGAGTCATTTAATGTTAAGAGTTAAGTCAAGTTTAGGAAAATTTTGTTAGGAACACCTCAAAGATGGACAATTTTGTGAACAACTACCTTTTTATTTTTTTTTTTTTTTTTTTTTTTATTTATGAACAACTACCCCTAAGATGTTTAAAGTTTATCTAGCACTACCCACTAACAGATTATGTCGAGTTGAGTCGTTTGTAGGGCCCACACCTACGTTTTTCCACCCAATTAACTCCCTTCCTAATTACTTCTGATATGTCCTCTTCCTTTAAATTTTCTAAGCGAATCTTAGAGAAAGAAATTCTTTCCTCCTTTCATCAAAAACCCTTTTCTTTCCTCTTATGCGTTGTCTCTCTTTTTTCTACTTATTAATTTAAAACACAATTAAATTCAAACCCTAAACCACAAAAAAAACCCACTAATTCAATTCAAACCCTAAACCCTAGAAATTAACATCCCAAACTGAATTGAATCCATAATTATGATAATTACAGTTAATTAAAACCCCTAAACCAATTAAATAGACCACGATTACATCAATAACTTAACATTACTTGATTTGGTGAAAAATTGTGTTCAATTGCTCGAATTTTTGGATTTTGAATGAGTTTGGGGGGAGGTGAAGAACAACAATAAGACTTTAAATAAGTGGGAATAGGGTTAATTGGGTGGGAAAATATAGGTGTGGGCCCTACAAACGGCTCAATTTACGAAATCTGTTAGTGGGTAATGCTAGACAAACTTTAGGCATGTGATGCGCAGTTGTTCACAAATTAAAAAAAGTAGTTGTTCACAAAACTTCCTATATATAGGATAGATCTCGACAAATTTTTCCAAGTTTAAATGAAATGTTAAGTCTTTATTTATTTAAATCTATATGTTATGTGATGTCAATCTTTAATTCAATTATGTAGTGTTAAATCTTTAATTATGTTTCAATTTAAAATTTGTATTTTAATTGTTTAATGTGAAGTCTTTATCTAATGTGTACATTGACCAAATGTACTATATTATTCTATTAGAGAAAATCATAGTCACCTTATCACATTCATGTATGTGCCATTGAATTGTCAACATTGATGACTGTTATGGCATTGGGTTGTCGATTCACTAATGACAATTAAGCACCATTGAATTATTAGTTAAAGGGATTACTCCTAAGGCATTGTATTGTCATATTCAATATAAGACAAATGAAAATTAAAGTTTCACATTCAACTGTTTTATCAATAACTATATACTAAAAGAGTAAAAGACACATCATCAATTACACGTGTCGTATTTTAGTGTGTCCATTATTTTTAAAAAAAAATATATTTATTATTTAAATCTTATACATAAATAAAATGTAAAAAACTATACATAAATAAAAGATTTGATGTATCATTCCATAATATATACTAATAACTATATAAACTTAAGTAAAAGAAAAAAAAAACGTTAACATAACTTTTGCCAAACTCAGTGTTATGTACTACAATTATTACAACAAGGAATTTAATTTTTTGAATACGTTTATTAAATTATATATTAGAAGCTTAAGAAAGTAATTAAAATATTAAATATTAAAACTTTACTAAAAATAAAAGATTTGATGTATCCTTCCACAAAAAATAGGAAAAATTGTCAAAAATAATACAAACTTTGAGCGATCCGCCGAAAACAAGTCAATTTTTTAATTATTTCCAAATAATACAAACTTTAGGGAGTATCCGCTATAAACAGATTATAACCGGTTGGTGACTTGATTAGTAGGTATATGGGACACATGTCGTAATTCTATTGGTTTGACACTTTAATTTATTTTTATTTTATTTAATTTTTTTAATATTTATTATTATTGATAATAATTATATATATAAAAAAAACCAACCCCCTCCCTACCAGCCACCCTATCCCCTCCCTGCCAAAACCCATTTCCCTGGTGCCCGCCCTTCGACAACCCCCTACCGCGCCCCAGCAACCTCCCTTGCGCTGACGACACCAAATCCGGCATCCTTACCCCTCTCTCTCCCTCCCCGACTCCCAACCACCACATAAAACCACGAATTGAAACCCCGCAAAAACCTCTAACCGCCTTTTCCCCCACCCCCAAAACCCTAGCGGCTAAGGTTTTCGACGGTCAAGGAAGGAGCGTTTGGGGGTTTCAGTGGTGGGGGAGCAAGTTTGTGGGTTTTTCGTGGGGAGGGAGAAGGATTGCGATGATGGTGATTCAGGGGGAAAGGAATAGGGTTTCGGTGCTGGTGGTTCGAGGGAGGGGTGGTTTGGCTGGCATCGTCGGGAAGCTGTTGGTAGAGTCGTCAGTGGAGGAGGAGGGGTGGCTGGGCTGGCGTCGCTGGGGAGCTGTTGGTAGAGTCGCCGGTGGAGGAGGAGGGGGGGCTAGTGGTAAGGGATCGGAGGGATGTGTTTTTTAAAATTATTTTTTAAATTATTTTAATTGTTAATTAACTATGACTGAATCTTTACTTAGGAGTTAATTATATTCTTAACTGAATTTATCAAAAAAAAAAAAAAAAAAAAGTTAACGTGTTATATAGGTTGTAGGTAAAATATCCCTTTTAAAGCGGATACTCCCCAAAGTTTGTATTGTTTTGAAATAATTAAAAGTTTGACTTGTTTTTGACAGGCCATTCAGTGTTTGTATTATTTTTCACAAATTTTCCCAAAATATATTAACAACTATAAATTTAAGCAAAAATAATAAAAATCGGATTCTTAACATGTGAAATTCTGAGTGCAATGCATTACAGTTATTACAACACCAATTTACTTTCTAGATTTTTTTTAAATAATGAATTAGAAGTTACAACAAATTAATGCGAATATCAACCAACAAGTGATACTATTGTTATATATTTCCTTAATAGTTTGTGATTGGACTCCAAATTTAAGCAACACTCCTTCGATATGACCTCTCCTTACCTATGCCTCAAGTATTTTAATTTACCTTTATCTAATCCGAAGTAATAGATATAAGACTATGGTTAATAT